GATCACAGTATGTCAAAGATTTGTTGTCACTTTTATCTTCCAACCAAGTCTTACTTTTTTCTACAGCCTGACGACATAAATCATTTTGTCTTAACGTTAAAAATGTGTGTGTCAGTATGTTATTTGAGAACATTGTGTGTTTTTTAATGTTTGTAGTTTTTAAATACTTTACGCCATCTTTATCGTCAACAAGCTGAATATAAAAAGCACCAAGTCAATGATTCATGCAGGCAGAGACAATAACCACTTACAGCTTGCAAAGCTTCAACCATAGATTTCATGACGTGTATCATTTCTTTTAAATAGTTCGTGTGTTCTGTAACATATTTGACTTGCACTCTAGGACGCATCTGAATTAAACAGAAACAGAATTCACATAATAGAACATACGTTGGGATTTACAATAAAGTTTTAAAATAACAAATCTTATCTCGACATCGAATAATCAAACAATTCTTATACACTATACACATGGAGTCAATGCCGTGTTTTATTTAAACATTACTTAAAAGAATGGATTTCAGAGCATTTAAATGGAATTAACTCGTTTGTAGTCTTGTGATTGGTCAGTTGTCTAAACTATTAGGCTTGTAAAAGTGAAGTTGATGGAAATTATGCTGTTGTGTAAAGCATGGATTTTACATTAACGTGGCTATTTTAAAATATAAACTCACATTTGACAGAAGAATAAAACAAAGTTTTATTTGTTTTTGCCTTTATCTTAGACACTTTAAATGCATACTCACACTTGACAGAAGAATAAAACAAAGTTTTCAGTTTTTTAGCCTTTGTTTTAGACACTCTAGTTCCAGTAGTAATAAACTGTTGCTCCGCTTCAATAAACAAAGTATCACGTCAATAACGCAAGTCACCTCTTTCATGTAGTGATGTCTGAGTTGGATGTGTACTTTTTACTGACCCGTTCTTTGGCTTATGTTCCTGTCCTTTATCTTTTTAATAAACATATAACACATTTTAATAGCGTTATCATCTATTTGACACATAAAGTGACTTTATCAACTATATTTACTGTGTGAAGGTATGATCAATACATGGCGAGTATGCCTGTGTGCTAGCTGATCGTGTATGTCTAGGTGCCTGTACCCTACTATAGGTAGTACATCAGCCATTCACTAATTTATATAAACAATTTCGTCAGCGTTGAATAAATAGTTGCATTACAGATCTGTAAAATTTTACAGGCAAACTGTATAAGCAATTGTGTACTTAAAATGACTTAATGCAAGTTAGGATATTAAAAACTTTCTCATCACATATGTTGTTTCAAATTTTGATATGCAGGCCCTTAAATGTATGAATTTAGTATTTCAATATACTACATAATTTAATACCTCTTAATAAGCAACAACAAGAAAACAAACCTACACCTTGATTTTATTAAAATAATGTTCCAATTAAATAAATGTTTATCAAACAATAACTAATGCCATTTGTAATTTATACTCTGATAAATGCATTGTAAAATTACTTAGAATATATTTTTTTTTAAAAGCAAATTGCTAAGATATTTTTTTATCTCTAAATAATGTTTTTTTCTTAAAGGTAAATGATGATTAAAATGTGTGACAAATTACATAGCCATCGGGTCTTGCATCAATTTGGTGCAGGACTAAATCGCAGCTACTCACGACGTGTGCGATAGTTACCTCTAAACTAAGTTATTAGGGGCATCAGGTAGTATCCCTGACCCTATGTGCAGGACGCCACTCAACAGACCCCTGGTGCTGAGATAGTGGCTGGGGAACACTGGGAGCCCGATCGCACCCTTTTCTCTGTAGTTTTCTTGTACTGGGCGTGTTGTAAAACAAAATATCACATCCACCAGTACCCAACTGACAGTAAATTTATAGGCTTACATTCATGTATTATAACTAAAGTCGTCTGTTTAGTGCAGGGGTCGGGAACCTGCGGCTCTTTTGATGTCAAGGTGCGTCTCTAGAGTTCCATGCACACTAATTAATAATTGTATTATTTCATTTTCAAAACTCATAAAAATATTATACTGTAAAAAAACTATTTTAAACAGGATTGTTATTTTATTCAGAATGCATTCCCTCTACCGAAGTATTTAGTTATTGGTATCCTACGGTGGAGCCAGGTACTGGACTGTGGGGAACAAGTAGGGTGGAAGATAAGCACTGGGAGAACCGAAGGACAGAAGCGACCGATTCAATCATCAAACCTATATCTAAGCCAGTTAGTCAGTTGAGGGCTGCTTGGCTATGGGGGACACCTCCTGAGCCAGTGGTGACCATAAAGAAAGTAAAAACGAAGTTATTGGCTTCTAAAAAGGATTGAGATTGTTCTATCGTTATATTATTTGATTACTAACTTAATCACAGCAGAGCTAGATAAAACACTTTTTGGTCGAAACATGTTTTTCTATAAATCAATATTAGTTCATATTTAACAGTATTTATTTCCAATAAACAATTAAATTTATTTACCTAAACCTAAGCAAATACCGAAATATTGGAACAATAATGTTTGTGGCTCTTTAAAAACTGGGAAATATTGTAAATTGTAACTTTTGGCTCTTTCGTCTCAAAAGGTTGCCGACCCCTGGTTTAGTGTAATGTGCACTTTAGGCTATATACAGAGGTATTAATAAATATATTTTAAAACATGTTTTAATAATAACCATTCATCAAACACACAAGCCGACTATTCTCCCCCACAACTTGACCACACAACAACGACAAGCCACACAGATACACATATGGACTCACACAGATACACATATGGACTCACACATGGTTAAAGATGAAATCACTAATATCTACTATCAACAGACCCGTGTATGTAAGCCTTACATTTGTGACATCAACGTAGATAACAACACACCGGTAACTACTGGATCAATTCTTTCTACTTTTCAACTTGTGTGGGAACCTAACGGCAGTCAAAAAAATCAGACATTAGGAAAACTTGTAGCACCAGATGATGGTGACTATCTTGTTATTGTAACTTTACAGGAGCGTGAAGATAAACAAATTACAGTTAGTGTTTTAAAGGGAGATAACAAATTGCAAAAGCCAATTAGTGAAAAGTTTGCTTAAACCTCTGCTTGTGGCTCAACTATTGTTGCCATGAAGAAAAGAGAAACACTTTACTTTAAGGTGCATGAATCAGATGCGGAAGCCATGCTTCAAGCTGAGAGTGGGTTCAGTATTGTTATATTATAATATGTGCTTATGTACACAAATAAAAATGTGTCCTGTTTCGGTGTTTTAGATAATAACTTTGTAATCAGTTCTAGGTCTAGAGTTTGATTGTGTTGTTTCTATCTAGACTAGTATCAGGATATCTTCAACAAATTGTGTGTGTTACTAAGTGTCGTGTAATGTTGTCAACAGTTTTGGTTATCGATAGAGTTTGATTACATGAGGAAATAGTCTTCGTGAATTGAACCTACTTATATTGATTATTATTACTAAATAGGGGCTATGCGCTCTATTTCACGCTAAAACTGCATTCAGCAGCTGTTATGAGTTTTCTCCGCTAGATGGTCCAAACTAACGAGCCTAATCTGGCAAGGGACTAAAATCGCGACTTTGTTAGCAATAATCAGCTCTTTTACCTAAACAAGGGGATAAATACGTGGCGGTGTGACGTCATTGACACATTAGACATGGCGTCGTTAAATATTTTTGTGTTTGGTATAGTATTCATTTATAATTAAAATTCATACAAATGAGAATTGAATATTTCAATAATATTTTACAATCCATATTTAAATAAAACAGACCAACAAGATGTATGTTTGCAGCTAGACTCAACTAGACCCATGGGTATTCTATACTAATGTAGCTAGATCCATGCTACTTCAATGTTTGTAAACATTTTGCTGTGGTCAGTTCTGCTGAGTTATTTGTCTTTATTGAGCTCTGTGGCGAACAGATGTAAATGTTAACGTGGATCATCTTCTTAATCGCCATGAGAGATGTTTGATATGTGAAACCATGTAAGCTACAGTGCTTTGTTTTTTATAAAAGAAAAGACAAAATGAAATCAAGCTCGGGTAGGTTTGTTTAATTTAACGTAACATTTATTTCTCTACTTAACCCTAACCCAAAAGACTGAACTAAACCTTTTTAAATCCCTAATCAAACCCAGATCCCATCCCCACACACAATTCATCTCCTTATTTCTTATACCTGCCTAATGTTTTTTACATTTATTAAACTTGTGTAACACAGGCGGTGTTGTATGTATAATTTAGATAAATCAATAGACAGAGTCAAGATATTAGTTGATTAACGTTGTGTTACGGACAACACAGCTCAACTATATGTCTCTTAGTAACAGGGTAGCTTGTCCGAAATGCATATTATATATATATATATATATATATATATATATATATATATATATATATATATATATATATATATAAATATATATATATATGTATATATATATATATATATATATATATATATATATATATATATATATATATATATATATATATAAATATGGTCTATATATTGTCAGACTTATGTATAGTCTACTTATGTGTGCGTGTGTTTGCGTAGGTGTTAATTCACATACACTGTTACTGACTAGAATCACAAGAGCGGTTTTTGTTTCGAGAATAACTGTAATTTATTTATTTTTTACCTTTAAAAAAAACAAAAGTTATTGTCAGTATCTTTCAAAATATTTACAAATTCATAACATGAATTAATTTTTTAAAATATATCTCACACATATTTAAGTTACCCAGTAAACTTATTCTATGTTTTTAATAGTTCATTGTGTTTGTCCGAAAATGCGGATTTCAATTTCAAAATTTACACACAAAAACTGGGGTTTTGTTTTTAACAAATACAATGATACACATATAGCCTACATAGAAACAAAAGATTTAAAAAACTGATGTATCTCATATGTTTATTGGGGGTCCAAAATCAAACAACTGCTGCCTTGTAGTTTTTTCTTGGTTGGACAAAGGCTATGGAAGTAAACCCAAAAAGAAAAGCAGGCTGAAATCGGAGTCAATGACCTCAATGGCGCATAACCCATTTACACGTAATCCTTAATTGTGATGGAAACATGGTCGAGTCGGAAAAGCTCATGGTTGATAAATTCGAACAAAGTCTCGAGTTCAAACTCTCTGGCAGATAAGGCTCGATCCCTCCCAACACTAAAAATTAAGAACGAAGAAGAAGAAGAAAGATATGTTTATTGTGGTCACGTACAATATATTAATTGGTGATCACATTGAAAAAGTTAGAACTGTATAATGATGACTAAAAAAACAACATACAAACCATTAAATGTTTATGTACATGTAGTAAGTTGTTAGCGTGTGCTTAACAATTTGGTTACATGTTTTATTGTTTTGAGAATTTACCATCAACCATGTTTTGTGTTGTACTTCTATAAACTAACGATAGTAAAACTACTGTAGCAGGATAACTTTGCGCCTTGATCTGATTGAATCACTTTAAAGTAAAGTTCTTGACCTTTCTTCATGTCAACAACCACTGACCCAGCAGCGCTAGTGGCGGCACATTTCACTTCTATAGCCGTACAGCACCTGCCTCCAGCCATCACACCAACTCCAATCTGTTTATCTTCCCTTTCATTTAGACTGACACAGACAAGATATAAACCATCATGGGGTGATACAAATGTTCCTGTTGTTTGATTAAAATGTTGACCGTTATATTCACGTACATCCCAGAATCTTGAAATAATTAATCCAACACTGACGGGTGCGAGATCAAGCGCCACATGACAAGCATATCTGTGACCTACACGTGACTCTGTTGATTAGAAAACATATGATTAATTTTACGAATGTTCTGACTACTTGATCCATAATATTTGTAAATTGTCGTTTCATTAGTTTATGTTATCATCTCATTATATGTGTTTTGTAAAACATAAACTGTATATAAGAATCTATAATGTTTACATAACTTTGTCCAAGACCATAAATTGAAACACTAGACCACTAGTTTAGTACGGTCCTTAGTTTGTGTGGTGTTAGTTTATCGTTTCCCACGTATTGACCTTACCAGTTTAGCAGGTCAATTAAAACGTCACAAAACGTACAACAAATGTTTAATACGTTATGCTAAAACCGGGTGTACGACAAATTCCCGAAATACACTTGCGCGAATGCCGTTTGCCCCTAGGCCGATTTCCGAATGGACACTTTCCCAAATGAACATTTCTTAAATACCAAATAGACATTCTTAATCAATTCAAGTTTGCCTTTAGGATAACACAATTCTTGGCATAAAAACAAATGTGTTTATATTTTTGAAAATGTGTATACTTTTAAGATTTAACATTTAATGTTTGAAAATTGAGATATTGCTGTAAAAAACGTTGTTCTTTAATAATGTAATGCTATGTTGGCTGCGGTGTTTTTATACTCTCTTGATGTAAGTTTTGAAAACCTTGTATAGCCGACGTGTTGCGGTGGTTTGATAGCGTTTATGACACGGTGTAGTCGGCGCGGCGTCTCGTTACATTGAACAGAGACGCGTTTGTTTGATTTATTTTGTTATGCTTAACTTGTGTGATGACTATTTCACAATTGAATGAAGCGAGCCTTAGGCAGCGAATTTAAAAACTAAAGGTAGTCAATTATATTTGATCTTCATTTAATGCAGCTTGTTTAGATAATGTGTTGAATCTATTACTTAATACAGAAAGTGAGAATCATTTTAAAAACATCAGATAAGTGAAAATTATGTTTTCGTCTTGTTTTATAGATAGCAAAAGATGTAGGCCCTACACTTTCTATAATATAGGAAATACTAATTAATTCATAATGCATGCTTGAAGATATTAAACAGTATTTTGTTCCCTTTCAATTTGGTAAGACATTTATTTAATTATCAAAATTTCACATTTAAGTTGATTTAGAATGACTATTTGGTCATCTGTAATGTTACCATTTTTCGGGCAAAAGGTCTTCGGGTAAGTGGCTTTTGGGCATTTGTCCCATTCGGGCAAGTGTCCGTTCAGGCATTTGTCCCATTCGGGCAAGTATCAATTCGGGCATTTGTCGCATTCGGCTATTGACCATTCGGGCAGTTTAATTGTATATGGATTATCTATTGAAACAAGAATTACTAGAGCTAAAATTGTTCTGTTGTACTTAATAATGACCGATAACAAGATCTGCATAGTCTACCTTTAGTATTTTTCATTTCAGGTTAAAGTCAATTAATGAGAGAATAAAATGTGACCATCACGAACGAACATCACGTTATGGTCTGTCTGACTAACGAACATCGCTTTATGATCTGTCTGGCTAACAAATATCACGTTATGGTCTGTCTGGCTAACGAACATCACGTTATGGTCTGTCTGGCTAACGAACATCACGTTATGGTCTGTCTGACTAACATCACGTTATGGTCTGTCTGACTAACATCACGTTATGATCTGTCTATCTAACTAACATCACGTTATGGTCTGTCTGGCTAACGAACATCACGTTATGGTCTGTCTGACTAACATCACGTTATGGTCTGTCTGACTAACATCACGTTATGATCTGTCTATCTAACGAACATCACGTTATGGTCTGTCTGGCTAACGAACATCACGTTATGGTCTGTCTGGCTAACGAACATCACGTTATGGTCTGTCTGGCTAACTAACATCACGTTATGGTCTGTCTGACTAACATCACGTTATGGTCTGTCTGGCTAACGAACATCACGTTATGGTCTGTCTGGCTAACGAACATCACGTTATATTCTGTCTGGCTAACGAACATCACGTTATGGTCTGTCTGGCTAACGAACATCACGTTATGGTCTGTCTGGATAACGAACATCACGTTATGGTCTGTCTGGCTAAGGAACATCACGTTATGGTCTGTCTGGCTAACGAACATCACGTTATGGTCTGTCTGGCTAACGAACATCACGTTATGGTCTGTCTGGATAACGAACATCACGTTATGGTCTGGCTGGTTAACGAACATCACGTTATGGTCTGTCTGGCTAACATATCGTTATGGTCTGTCTGGCTAACGAACATCACGTTATGGTCTGTCTGGTTACGAACATCACGTTATGGTATGTCTGGTTAACGAACATCACGTTATGGTCTGTCTGGCTAACGAACATCACGTTATGGTCTGTCTGGCTAACGAACATCACGTTATGTTCTGTCTGGCTAACATCACGTTATGGTCTGTCTGGCTAACGAACATCACGTTATCGTATGTCTGGCTATCAAACATCACGTTATGGTTTGTGTGGCTAACGAACATCACGTTATGGTCTTTTCGTGAAAGAGAATGGCCAATATTTGCAAGTCGGGAGGGTGGTGAAAAGGAGAGAAAGGAGAGATATTGAACAGAGGTAAGCAAAAGTTTTAATTTGAATACAGATCGGTTAGCATCGTTTAGTGTACGTCATAGTATTAGTTGCGTAACATTATCACCACTAATAAAGTATATTTACCGTTAAATCATTATTGTTTTAAGATAATTCTTTATTTAGTTTCATTTTTTGTTTTTGTTTTTCAAAGCACACTTACCGATCAGATGAACTTCTTTGGACAACTTTGAAATAGTATTTTCAATATTGTCAATCTAAATAAAAACAAAATATAAATTATATAAATGAAACAATCGCATAGTTACGTTTAACTTCAATAGCTCTACTGACAATAATTGGAAATGGCAACTTGTAAGAATAAAAAATAATTTAAAGATGTTTATAAATATAAATTAATTAACGAAATCAGGGGGTATTAATTGGACTAATAACAAGGTGTTAATAATTAATGCGTTGCAGTTTTATTTTTCTATTACACAAATTTCTTCTTTATTCTTTCTTCTCTAGTTTTCAAGTTCTGGTTTAATATTTGAATGAGTTTGTCAATAGGCATCAATCTTTGTTGCAGGAGTTTGTACATCACACTGTGCTAAAGGGATTATTTTTAATTTGACTATTTCTATTGCATATTAAAATTGCTTAGATTAACTTATGCCTTAAAGTTAGTTTCAAAATCAAAAGTATGACTGGCAAAAAATGTAATCAACCGACTTTTAATTACATGTTACAATTTGGTTATAATATATAGACTTGAAAACTTGAAAGTAGGTGTATAAATGTGTGCCTAATTAATTATAAATGTGAATGTTTACCTAGGATGTATCGACCAACGGGTCAGTTGTAGGTTAGATAGATATAGGTTAGAATAATCTAGAATTAGGAGAGAGTGCGTGCTTGAGTTGAGTTTACCCTAAGGTATTGTTAACCCCGATGTGTTGATGTATTGTTATCCCAAGGTCGAATGCGATATAAAAGTTGGAGTGAATGGTTGCCAGCGGTTAGTTGGTAGCGATTAGGGCGTGGGATACTCTGTTATGTGAAGAATTGAGTCCAAATAAAATGTATACTATATGTGTAACGAATCGTTGTTGAGTTGAATCGAACCCGGACGTAACACAATATTTTATTAATATATTTTTCAAAAGATATAATCTGATCAGAATGTCTTTTAGTTTCTTGGGTTATACTTTCTGTTTTATCTGTGTGATGATGTATTTCTTTGTGTAAGTTGTTTTTATATTCTTTCATATCTAGAGACAGTTTCTCTAGTGTTTTGTTTGACTTGGTTTCTTTTTTTTTTTAAACTTTCAATTTCTTCGTTCAGCTCCTTTACTTTGTTATCGTTTTCAATCATTTGTTTTATGTGGTTTTTAAAAGTCTGTTTTTTTTTCGTTAGTTGTTTCATGTTTACCCCCATGTCACTCTGTTCTGTTACAAAGTTGTCTCTCCATTGTTTTATTTCTGATATGTCATCTGTAGACTTGTCATTAGCGTCTTGTAGAGAAGATATGGCTGTCTCTATCTGCTCAAGTCGACTGACGTCTTGTAGAGAAGATATCGCTGTCTCTATCTGCTCAAGTCGACTGACGTCTTGTAGAGAAGATATGGCTTTCTCTATCTGCTCAAGTCGACTGACGTCTTGGAGAGAAGATATGGCTGTCTCTATCTGCTCTAGTCGACTGACGTCTTGTAGAGAAGATATGGCTGTCTCTATCTGCTCAAGTCGACTTAATATTTCTGTGGCTGTATAAAATTAAGTCAATCGCAATAGTAATAAAGTTTGAAAATCATTATAATATGCTACATTTCCTTTAAGAAAATATATTTGAATCATTCACCTTGAAAATATTTTTTTAACTTAATTTTTTTTTTTTGTAAAAATATGTGTGCATAGATACCTAATGGTTTATAAGGCTCGTTAAGGACTTGATCTGTTGACTGTCTACGGCCATGTTCTTCTGTTGTTGTTGTTTGTGAGTTAGACTGAGATGAAAATGACCTTCCATCTTCAACAATGTCTTTATTTTCCTCTTGTAATTTTCAGAGAACATAAATTAATTTAAATATGTGTAATAATAATTTAGTTGTAGTTTTACATAATATTGAATATTTATTAATGTAAGTTTGTGTGTTAATTTTTGTATGTAAAATACTTTCTTTAGAATTGATATAAATTATTAATGTTATTTGATAATATGAATCTAATATATAAAGCTCAGTTCCGTATGTAATGAATATATTTGTCGTTGGTCTTGGATGAATTTAAGTGTTAGAAAATTATCGTGCGCATTTGTCTAAATTTATGAGCTAAAAAATTACTATTGAAAGTGTTGGGAAATAATTTTCATTTTTCAAATTATAGTAATAATTGTCGGCATGTTCATTAAACACAAGTTTAAAAAAAATATAATCTTTCACAAAAATTCTAATTATGTCTTTATTTAGTCCTATAGCACTTACTTCCCTTTGATAAATTAGGAAAACACAATTACTTCCCTTTATAAAACCATTGCATTTTGTGGAAAATAATTTACTTTTTAATTACTTTGTTTTGGTGTTGGGAAAAAAAAATTACATAATAAGCGGGGATTGATCAAGTGCATATGTTGTAGGTATTTTACGGATAAGCTTGGAGTATTATAATTGTTCATCAAATTGAAACAGGCGCGTTCGTTTAAGTGAGTGCAAAAGACTATGAATAAGTTGGGGTACTATAGTCGTTCATTAAGCTAAAACAGGTGATTCCGCCCCGGGCGTTTATGTTCGCGTTAGTGTTTTCTTTGTGTTTAGGTGGGTTTGCGTTAGTGGTTGCGTTTTGATTTGGTTCGTTTTTGTTCTTTCTTTTTTCGTTTTTGTTTGTGTTTTTTTGTTTGGGTTTGTATTTGTGTTTTTGGTTGGTTTTGCGTTTGGATTTGGTTTGTTTTCGTTTGCTTTTTCGTTGTTTTTTTGTTGTTGTTGGTATTGGTGTTTGTGGTTGGGTTTGTTGTTAGGTTTTTGTTTTCGTTTTCTTTTTTGTTTGTTTTTTCTTTGTGTTTGTATTGGTGTTTGTGGTTGTGGTTGGGTTTGTTGTTAGGTTTTTGTTTTCGTTGTATTTGTAATTGTAATTGTGTTAGCGTTATGTTTGCGTTTTGTTGTTTTGGTTGGTTGTGGTTTGGGTGGGCAATGCCGGGTTTATGATGATTACTTAACACACAGGTAATGGTCTTTAACAGAAAGGTTTTTCACAGAAGCCAGAGCAGGGCCTGGCCGGGACGGCTAGTATATATTAATTTTAAATAAATACAAAACATATTTAATTGTCCAGTTTTTACTTTATTATTTGTATTAAATTATTGAGATTTAACAGATTATCAATTAAAATAAAAGAGACATATTTTAAAATATTTACCTAAGATATGAGCCGCTACATTCAACAAGGCCAAGGTAGCTGATTCAAGTTCTTGACATAGATCACAGTATGTCAAAGATTCGTTGTCACTTTTATCTTCTAACCAAGTCTTACTTTTGTCTACAGCCTGCTGACATAAAACATTATGTCTTAGCGTTTAAATGTGTGTCAGTATGTTATTTGAAAAAATTGTTTTCTTTAATGTTTTTAGTTTTTAAATACTATACTCTATCTTTATCTACAACATGCTCAATATAAAAAGCACAAAGTCAATGATGAATGCAGGTAGAGACAATAACCACTTACAGCTTGCAAAGCTTCAACCACAGGTTTAATGACGTGTATCTTTTCTTCTAAATAGTTCATGTGCTCTGTAACATATTTGACTTGCACTCTAGGACGCATCTGAATTAAACAGAAATTCACATACTATAACGCATTTATAATGACGTTTTAAAATAACGAATCTTTTCTCGACATCGAATAATCAAAGACTTGATTTTTTTTATATAAACATTACTTAACAGGAATGAATTTCAGAGCATTTAAAGGGCATTAACTCAAGTTTGTAGTCTTGTGATTGGTCAGTTGTCTAACCTGTTAGGCTTGTAAAAATGAAGTTGATGGAAATTATGCTGTTGTGTAAAGCATGGATTTTACATAAACGTGACTATTTTAAAATATAAACTCACTTTTGACAAAAGAATAAAACAAAGTGTTCAGTTATATAGCCTTTGTTTTAGACACTCTAGTTCCAGTAGTAGCAAACTGTCGCTCTGCTTCAATAAACAATGTATCACGTCAATAACACAAGTTACCTCTTTCATGTAGTTATGTCTGAGTTGTATGTGTACTTTGTACTGACCCGTTCTTTGGCTTAATTTCCTGTCATTTATCTTCTCGATAAGCATTTGACACATTTTATTAGCGTTATCAACCATTTTAAACATAAAATGACTTTATCATCTATATCTACTGTGTGAAGGTATGATCAGTACATGGCGAGTAGGCCTATGTGCTAGCTGATCGTGTATGTGTAGGTGCCTGTACCCTACTATAGTTAGAACATCAGCCGTTCACTAATTTATATAAACAATTTCGTCAGTGTAGAGTAAATAGTTGCATTAACGATCTGTAAAATTTCACAGGCAAAGTGTAAAAACAATTGTGTATTTAAAGTGACTTAATACAAGTTAGGATATTAAAAACCTGATTTTCTCATCACATGTTGTTTCAAATGTTGATATGCAGGTCCTTAAATGTATGAATTTGCTATTTCAATATACTTCTTAATTTAATACCTCTTAAAAAGCAACAACAAGAAAACAAACATACACGTTTATTCTATTTAAAAATGTTCCAATAAAATAAATGTTTATCAAACAATAACTAAAATCATTGGTAATTTATACTCTGATGTATGCATTGTAAAATGATTTAGTATATATGTTTGTTTTTTTAAAGCAAATTGCTAAGATATTTTACTTATCTCTAAATAATGTTTTTTCTCCAAAAGCTAAATGAATATTAAAATGTAATGTCAAATTACAACGTCATCCGGTCTTGCATCAATTTGGTGCAGGACTAAGTAGCAGCTACTCCCGACGTGTGCGATAGTTACGTTTAAACTAAGTTATTAAGGGCATCAGGTAGTATCCTGACCCTCTGTGCAGCACGCCACTCAACAGATCCCTTGTGCTGAGATAGTCGCTGGGGAACACTGGGAGCCCGATCACACCCTTTTCTCTGTAGTTTTCTTGTACTGGGCGTGTTGTAAAACAAAATATCACATCCACCAGTTCCCAACCGGCAGTACATTTATAGGCTTACGTTCATGTATTATAACTAAAGTCGTCTGTTTAGTGTCATGTGCACTTTAGGCTACATGCATAGGTATTAATAAATGTATTTTAAAAATGTTTTAATATTGACCATTTATCATACACACAACCCGCCTATTCTCCCCCACACCTTCATCACACAACAACGACAAGCCACACAGATACATACGTGGACTCACCCATGGTTAAAAATGAAATCACTAATATCTACTATCAACAGTGGCCCGTGTGTGTAAGCCTTACATGTGTGACATCTACCTAGATCACAACACACCGGTAACTGCTGGATCAATTCTTTCTACTTTTCAACTTGTGTGGGAACGTAACGGCAGTCAATTTAATCAGACAACAGGAAAACTTGTAGCACCAGATGATGGTGACTATCTTGTTATTGTAACTTTACAGGGGCGTGAAGATAAACAAATTACAGTTAGTGTTTTAAAGGGAGATAACAAATTGCAAAAGCTAATTAGTGAAAAGTTTGCTTAAACCTCTGCTTGTGGCTCAACTGTTGTTGCCATGAAGAAAGGAGAAACACTTTACTTTAAGGTGCATGAATCAGATGCAGGACAGTGGGTTCAGTATTGTTAGATTGTGACTTAGTGTTATTATGTAAACAAATACATATTTCTCCTGTTTTAGTGTTTTAGATAATTGCATGAAGTTATGCTTCAAGCTGGGAGTGGGTTCAGTATAGTTAGATTATAAAATTGTGTTCTTGTGTAAACAAATAAACCTTTCTCCTGTTTCAGTGTTTCAGATAATAACTGTGTAATCAGTGCTTGGTCTAGAGTTTGATTGTGTTGTTTCTATCTAGACTAGTATCAGGATATCTTCAACAAATTGTGTGTGTTACTAAGTGTCGTGTAATGTTGTCAACAGTTTTGGTTATCGATAGAGTTTGATTACATGAGGAAATAGTCTTCGTGAATTGAACCTACTTATATTGATTATTATTACTAAATAGGTGCTATGCGCTCTATTTCAAGCTAAAACTGCATTCAACAGCTGTTATGAGTTTTCTCTGCTAGATGTCCCCAGCTTACAATCCTAATCTGGCATAGGGACTGAACTCGCGACTTTAGTGTCAGCAATAATCAGCTCTTTTACCTGAACACGGGGATAGGGACGTGGCGGTGTGACGTCATTGGAACATTAGACATGGCGTCGTTAAATATTATTGTGTTTTGTACAGTATTAATTTATAATTAAAATTGACGTATAAAAGTGAGAATTAAATATTTCAATATTATTTTACATCCCGTATTTAAATAAAACAGACCGACAAGATGTATGTTTGCAGCTAGACTCAACTAGACTCATGGGTATGCTACACTAATGTAGACAGATCCATGCTACTTCAATGTTTGTAAACATTTTGCTGTGGTCAGTTCTGCTGAGTTATTTGTGTTTATTGAGATCTGTGGCGAACAGATGTAAATGTTAACGTTAATCATCTTCTTAACCGCCATGAGAGATGTTTGATTTGTGAAACCATGTAAGCTACAGTGCTTTGTTTTTTATAAAAGAAAAAGACAAAATGAAATCAAGCTCGGGTAGGTTTGTTTAATTTAACGTAACATTTATTTCTCTACTAAACCCTAACCCAACAGACTGAACTAAACCTTTTTAAAGCCCTAATCAAACCCAGATCCCATCCCCACACACAATATATTTCCTTATTCCGTATACCTGCCTAATGTTTTTACTTTCTCGTATATACGTAGTATAGAGAAAGTATTGTAATCGTGCAAAAAAAAATCGAGATTTTTACAAATCTCGACGTTTTACACCTCACTGATACGGAAAAACATAATTTTGCAATCTTGTCCGTATGTCTTTGTGTGTGTGTGTCTGTGTGTCTGTGTATCCGTGTGTAAACACGATAACTTGAGTACCGTTACTGCTAGGTTGATGAAATTTCATATATAAGTATTTTATCAAAATCGTAGATCCGTATCAACTTTTGAGAGATTTCAGATAACCGGAAGTGGTACTTTTTCTACTTTGAATTTTTCAAAAGCCTATAACTTGAGTACTATTTCAGATAGATAAATGAAATTTCAAATGTAAGTAAGAGATCTAATTCTCTACCTTCTGTTAAATTTTGAGTAATTTCCGTTGACCGGAAGTAGTAATTTACGCTACTTCCGATTTCTCAAAAAACTAATGTAAATTTTAAAAGTACTAATAATATTGCGCACTATTATGCGCTTTTTTATTTCGCGTTCACTTGGTGTGCAATTAATTTGTCTACGAGATTTTATTCTATTTTTAAAACTTTAAGTATTTAAAATGGATTAAAAATCATGTCTATAGCCCGAGTTCCCATCCCCTGTTATTTTATATAAAAATATTCGAGAAAGTTTAGCGGAGATCAATCCCGGTTTATTTACTTTTATTAAGCTTGTGCAACACCAGGCGGTGTTGTATGTATAATTTATATAAATCAATGGACAGAGTCAAGGTATTAGTTAATTAACGGTTGTGTTACGGACAACACAGCACAACTATATGTCTCTTAGTAACAGGGTAGCTTGTCCAAAATGCAAATTATATATATATATATATATATATATATATATATATATATATATATATATATATATATATATATATATATATATGTATATATATATATATTATATATATATATATATATATATATATATATATATATATATATATATATATATATATATTTGTATGGTCTATTATTGCGTGTGTGTTTGTTTAGGTAGGTGTTAATTTACATACAATGTTACTGACTAAAATCACAAGAGTTGTTTTTGTATAGAGAATAACTGTAATTTATTTATTTTGTTTACCTCGAAACAAAATACCAGTTACTGGCAGTGTCTTTCAAAATATTTACATGCATAACGTGGATAATTTTTTAAAAATATATCTGACACATATTTTAGTGAACTTATTCCAGCTTCTGATTGTTTAAATAGTTCATTTAGTTTGCCTCGAAAATGTGGATTACAATTTCCTATTTTACACACAAGAAACTAGGTTTTATTTTTAACAAATAATATAGTACACATAGGCTACTGTTGTTATGCATCAAAACAAAAGATATTTAAAAATAGATTTATCTGATATATTTCTCGTGGTTACGTAGAGCATAATAATAGGTGATCACATTGAATTAGTTGGAACTGTGTAATGTTGTCTAAAAAAAACAGGAGTAATCCCCCCTAAACTTTCTCGAATATCCTTTTATAACACTACGTCGGATGGCAACTCGGAATATAGACATGATTTTTAGTTAATTAAACTTTTAAAAATAGAATAGAATCTCGTAGAAAAAAGAATTGCGCGCCAAGTAAACGCCAAATAAAGATGTGCATAATAGTGCACAATATCATTAGTACTTTATAAATGAACATGCGTTTTTGAGAAATCAGAAATAGCGCAAACTACTACTTCCGTTCAACCGAAATCACTCAAATTTTACAGAAGGTATAGAAGTAGATATTTTACTGACATGTGAAATTTCGTTTATCCATCTAAAAAAGTACTCAAGTTATAGGCTTTTGAAAATTCAACGTAGAAAAAGTACCACTTCCGGTTATCGGAAATCGCTCAAAAGTTGATACGGATCTACGATTTTGACAAAATACTTATATTTGAAATTGCATCAACCTAGCTGTGACGGTACTCAAGTTATCGTGTTTACACACACACACACACACAGACACACACACACACACCGAGACACACAGACATACAGACACAATTGCAAAATTATGTTTTTCCGTATCAGTGGGGTATTTTTGCACGATTACAAGACTTTCTCTATAGGCCTACACCGTATATACGAGAAAGTAAAAAACACTATATAAACATACTTTCGTAGACATGTACTCAAGCAAGTTTTAAGCAAGTGTTTAACATGGTGGATATATGTTTTTTTTAGAATTCACCATCCACCATGTTTTGTGTTGTACTTCTATAAACTAACGATAGAAAAACTACTGAGGTAAGATAACGT